TAGAAAAATGGACATAAACACACAATTCACAAATGAATGGGTCCTGTTAACTAAATACAGACCAACCTCAGTTATCAAGTATGAAGTATAGAGGAGTGCAGACTAGGTCATTAACAGAGGCTATCTTTGGGTTGGGAGTTATGGGTAATTTTTACTTTCTTTGTATATGTTTTGATTCTAAAATTTTTTGTACAGTGAACACGTACAATTTTGGTAAGCTATTATTAAGTAAAAAACCAACTTCAAAACACTGTGGGAAATGTGAAATATGGAAACGACCTCTTCCCACTCAAGGAAATGTTCCTAGTGCTACATGAACCTCTTGCTAAAGGCTTCCACATAACTTACCACTAGCACTGTTTAGGAAATATAGTAAGAAGAATGGATTCTTAAAGTCTATGACACAGTAGGAAAAACCTAGGAAAATCATCCACTACTTAATTTTTTTGGTATTAAAAAAAGAGTTCCTTTCTTTAATTATCTGTTTTAAACTTATATCGAAGTTTGCTCATGAAAGCTAAATAATTCTGTTGTTTGGTTACAAAGTTAGTACATAAATTCTTTTATTTCTTCTATAAGGAGATCAAACCAGTCAATCCTAAAGGAAATCAATCCTGAATATTCATTTGGAAGGATTGATGCTAAACCTGAAGCTGAAGCTCAAGCTCCAATACTATGGCCACCTGATGCGAAGAGTTGACTCATTGGGAAAGACCCTGATGCTGGGAAAGATTGAGGGCAGAAGCAGAGGACGACAGAGGATGAGAGGGTTGGATGGCATCACCGACTTGATGGACATGAGTTTGAGCAAATTCCAGGAGTCAGTGAAGGACAGGGAAGCCTCGTGTGCTGCAGTCTATGGGGTCGCAAAGAGCTGAATGTGACTTAGCGATTGAACACCAACAACAAAAAATTTAGGACTAAAATGTTTCCTTATAATTTCTATTTATCTTTCCTGAGATTGAAATATAATTCTCCCCTGAATTTTTCTTCCAATCTCCAATTTTTAAAGCTGCAAGTCAAGTGCTCTTTTGTGCAAAATTATTTTGTGGTTTTTATTTAGCTATATCTTCATCTGCTTTGTCTGGCAGAAACTGAGCATGAGAAAGGACTTTTGATATACTCTGACACTCTCTCCCTTGACTGAGGGGAGGGCTAAGGCCCACTGAGGTTCAGTTACTCACAAGTGAGAAATAGGACAGCCAGGCTAAAAATAACCCAGGCAAGGGCAGTTTATTGCTTCTTTAGACTCATTTTCACTTCAATTTTATACTCATAAACTAGAAGGAGTGTTCTTTAAGATTGAACGATAGTTTAACTTAAAGAGAAATGTTCAGTTTAGTGCTTAAATATTGTCTCTTGTTGGACATGCCAGCAATCCTTCCACTGACAGGACGCTCTGGCGAGGGCTAGTGCTTTCTGAAGGCTCTTGACAGATGTTTTCACAGTTTGGTCACAGTTCAAAGGAAGGTGAGGAAGATAGCCCAAACATCTTACCTCCATATCCACTTTTCTGCAGCACTGGTACTAAACACCATTTTTAAATTTCCTGAAGAATCATAGGTTTTTATAGCTTAGATTTAAAAGGAAATAAGACTTTTGAACTTTACTTCTGAATTGTAGAGAGGGGCCAAATGAACCATTAAGGTGGATACGCCTTTAAAAAACAAAAAGGCGGCTCTATCTAAATTAAAATTTTTGGGTCGCAATGTCACCTTCACAGCCCTTGATCTGCTAGGCTGTAAGCTCCTTGAGGGCAAGAATGATTTTTTTCTTTTTCTTTGTTTCCCCAGTGCCTGCCAGAGTTCCTGGCACAGTGTCAGCACTCAGCAAATTATGTTAGAATGTGATGGTAAGAACAGATGGGAAGAGCCTCCAGAGACTAGGAGTGGCTGTAACCAACGCTCTGTGAGACAGCAGCTTTGTGCTGACTCTGAAATGTCCCAGATCCAGACGGGTTCCACGATTATTTACACAGTAAACTTATTACTTTGGAAAGTAAAGTTATAGCTTCAGTTATTATTGGTTATTTCCTTTAATAAAGGTGTAATAAAAATGAGAAATAATTTTAACTTTCCGAAAGGTTCCCAGGCTTTACATCAGAGAAAGCGGTCTTGACACAGGATCTTGGGTTTGTAAATATGCAAGAAAACACTGCTGGAATGGGACATGCTGAGCTTCCTGCTCTTCATATTTCTAAGGAAAAGAAGGTGGGGGGAAAACAAAACTCTGAAACTAAAGGTAAAAACTGCAAAAGGACCCACTTCTAGCAATAGATCCAAAACTGAGACTATAAGAGCTTCAAGATTTCTTATGAGAAAATGTAGTAAGAAAAATACAGTGACTCATCCTGTAATCATGCCCTTTCTTCCCAAAGTACACAGCACGATTCCCACATCCCTGGCACGTGGGCACTTGGGACGGAGCTATTGCAACACGGAGCGCCTCTCCGCACGGGGCCCTCGTGCAGGGCGGGGGACAGACCTCCCCAGTGCCGGGCAGTGGCGCGGCTGCACTTGCGCTGCCCCGCATCCAGGCGGAGCAGTTCTGAATAGACGCTCCCAGGTTTCCCAGCCAGTCATCACTTCAACACTGAAGACTAGAAAGGAAAAGAGGACAGGGGAAGGAAGAGGCAACCTCTACTTGAGGCCACAGGCTAGTAAGGCGGCCAGGCTCTGCCCGGTGCCCACTCTCCCCGCCACTTCTGCGGCTGGGGAAGAGGGAGCGAAGTCAACAGTTACAGGACAAACGACTGACGTTCTTACCAAAGACGTTTCCAACACGCCGCTCAGGAAGACTGCTCCCAGGCCTCCCTGTTCCTGGAGAGTAACTAGCGAGAGAAATGAGATAGCTCCGGCCCTGGGGCGAGTGTCCGTGTGAACAGATAAAATGATCCGAAGCTTTAAGGGACATAAGGAAGTTCAAGGGCTAGTCAGAGGAGGGCCAGAAGGGCAGAAGGCCATCCTGGCAGGGAAGGGTGCTTGCTGATCCTCACATAGCCAAGATGGGAGGGCTCTGCAGAGGCCACGTGTCAGGGAGGATTGACTTGGAGGCACCTGGGACGAAGGACTGGGGTCTTGGCTGCACAGGGCATTTGTGGGTGACAAGGCCCCCGCCTTGACCTGGGTGTGTTGTTACTCCTGGAGCAGGCACTCAAGGAAGTGGGGGACAGGCCCATGAGGAGGGGGTGCAGAGATGGGCGGGCCACATAGAGCGGGGCTTGGAGGTGCCAGGGATGGAAGCCGCCCTGTCAGTGCCCAGCGTTAGCTGACCGAGGGAAGTGTGCATGTGAAGGATGGCCAGAGGTGGAGACAAGGGCAGCTCAAGGCTGACCACAGCTAAAGGGAAGCACGCAAAACAGTGAAAGAGCCTCAAGATGGAAATGGCACTTTTCTCATAAGTTGACTTGGTGAACTCCCAGTGTTATCCCTGGATATCAGAACATTTTGAAGATAAGAAAATGGAACTGGCTCGTGCAAAAGGCTCAGACCAGTCAACTTTTCATAATGAAAATTCTTCACATTTAGGAAGTCCTCCAGATTATAAGATTTATATGACAGCAGCTATAGAAAGCTTACATCTGTACAAATACCAGTGCCCCTAAGGAGGATGATATTTCATTTGCATGGAGATGTTGTAACTCATCCTTAATAATTTAGAATATTAAGTATTAATATTACATGTGATACAAGATCTAATTTTTGCTGTATTCCATTTGAAAACAGTAATACTTTCTGGTACAATTAATTGTCTTCTTGAACCACAAATCAATGTTTTCATTGGTCTGAGAATCAGTTAAGCTATATTACGTTACAGTTGTTTGCCAGCAGTATTATTACTTTAGTATTTGTTAATTTACTAAGATAATTCAACATCCTAGAAATGCTTCAGAAATAAACTTTTAACACTTGTCACCAGATGTGCTTCATTTATTGCACTTAATGTGTATATTTAAGAGTTGAGCTGCTAGATGGAATAAGTGTCTCACTGGCTTTTCTGAAGGGCTCACCTGTTCTGGACAAAGGTATCTAAATTTAAATATGAATCCTCAGAAGACTTTCTTGGGTCTCTGTTCAGCCTTCTAGTCTCTAAAACACTTTTCTTATGTTTATTTAAGATGAGATAAGAAGCTGGTTTTGGACCATGAGGGCCAAATTTCAAATGGATTAAAAGATAACAAACATAAGGGGTAATCTAATACCCCCACAAATTATTTTAGAAGCATAATAATCATGACATATATCATGTCCAGGTTTAAGGTCTGCTAGACGTTTTTTCCTTTTTGTTAAAGTTTCAAGTCACAAGTCCAAGTCCAAAAATATAAAAAACAAAAATTGGTACAGAGGTAAGCTCAGACAGATTGGGCTGTGACTGCAGCAAGACACACATGCACACACACACCCCACAGATTTTCAAATGTATATGACAAGCTTGAAAGACAAGGCTGTAAGCTATAACATTAGGAGTGAATTTTCAAAATCTGTTTGTCTGCATAAAGAGCTCCACTGAAACAGAAATAAGACTGATGGAGCTCAAAATTGAGCACCAGAAAAGAGAGAGAAAACAAATCCTATCAGCTAAGAAAGAGCACACTGGGGAAAAGTACTGGTTTTCATGAAAATGTCAGTGATTCACCATGGAATAAAATTCAAAAGCCACTGACCCCAGTGAAAGCTTCCAGTGGAAACATGTGGATTTTGCCTCACTTCATTTAAAGAATGCTTTATATTTCATTAAATACCATCAGAAGCATTTTCACGGTTTTTGTAGTATGTGCTTTCTCATTTTATGTTGCTATGGAAGAGATACTACTGACCCCGCTAAATTCTCAAGAAGTCTTCAGGGAAAAAAAGAGCATATCAATGAATCAATATAATCACACAAAATAGATAGGACATTTCTGGTCCCTTAAAACATGCACTGAGGGCTCAGCAGTTCTTCTATTTATTACAGTAACTTTCTATTTAAGCAGACTTGCTTAGAGAATTTTTCATACATACCAACTCTTCACTCTGACTTGTCAAAAGATCACGACTGAATGCAAGCTGACTTACGCAGACCACAAACCTGTCGGGAAACACTTGGAGTTCTGCACAAAAGGAAAGAAATCACATCACTATAGGCATCAAAAGACTCTGAACACAGAAATGCTTGGTTCAAGAATTCTGCCTTACAACGATAAGCATGTATGTATCAGACACGTGTCTTCTCCCCTGCCCTCCTTCCAGGCTTTGCTATCAACGGCGCAGGGCGAGCACAAAGCTCCAGGGGCAGCGGAGGAGGCTGCAGATGGATCCCCCTGGGCCCCTGGACCATGGCACCCCAAGAAAGCCCCAGGCGCCCAGGGCCATCACAGCTTTCCTCCTGCGTCCGTTTGCTGTTTTCTGTTCAGACTCACATTTGGGAGACAGGATCAACATTTACACTGAGTGTTCAGACATACACAGGCAGAGGGAGGAAATCTGAAAACACACCTTGTCAGTGTTCCTGCTAGCTTCCCTCTCCCCTCTTCAGTCACCTGGCCTTGGAGAGGCTCCCTAGGCTGCAGGGCAAATTCCCAGTCTGAACCGGGCTACGAAAACAGCAGTGTTGGAGATCACTCTTAAGGAAACAGTTAAATGTGTAATAGAAGGACTTCCCTGGGGACCAGTGGTTAAGAATCTGCCTGCCAATGCAGGAGATGTGGGTTCAATGCCTGGTCCGGGAAGACTGCACATGTGGTGTGTACTACAACTATTGAACCTGTGTTCTAGAGTCCAAAAGTCTGAACTGAAGCCTGCTCTGAGCCTGTGCTCTGCAACAAAAGAAGCCACTGCAACGAGAAGCCTGGTACACTGCAACTAGACTAGCTCCCCCTCGCCACAACTAGAGAAAGACTGCGCACAGCAAAGACCCAGCACAGCCAAAAACAATAAAATAAATTTTTAAAAAGTGCAATAGTAAGTCTGGTCCAACTATACCACAGTTGCAATGACCTATGATTACAATTTCTTAAAGCAAAACCACTGACTTCCGGGTGGGGAAGGTTAAATGAATCACAGAACCAGACTCCTCAACGTTCAATGAAAGGATGATTGAATGGTAAATGTGCCTCCTTCTCCATCTGTCTGTCCATCTCTCCATTCATCCACGCAGCCCCCATCGACCTCTGGGGTGATGTCTGGAGTGACATTTAGCCCATGTTAACAGTGAATATTCTGGTGTGGGGAATGGGGAGTGGGAAGGTCTTCTCTTCCCCTTTTTTAAAACTTGGTAGTACTGCCTGAGCTGGAGAAGGAAATGGCAACCCACTCTGGTATTCTTGCCTGGGAAACCCCATGGACAGAGGAGCCTGGCAGACTATAGTCCATGGGGTCGCAGAAGAGTCAGACATGACTCAGCGACTAAACAACTGCCTCAGTATTTGTATAATACACATGTATCGTATTTACAACGGAAATAAAGCTAATTTTTTCTAAAAGGGAAAGCCTTCCTTTTAGATGTGACCAATTTTTATTATTCTGAGTCATGAAAGTGAAGCCTTTTACGTGCAATGCACACTGCCCACAAGAAAC